CACATTCGTCACTTAAAAAATCACTCGAAGAAAGGAATACACATGATTAACACAACGCTAATACGACAATCGTTGACTCGACGAAGCAGTCGATCGATTTTATTGGTTATGTTTATACTATCGCGGTCGAAACACGAAGTCTGTTTTTTATTCCTGCACTAATGAATTGGTGCATACGGTGCAATAAATTGAACCTAAAGACGCGTGATTATGTAATTGAAATCTCAGACCGCAGCAAATTCGAAACAGAGTGTACTGCACTCACGTGTTACAAATACCTCGAAGCGTAATTAATTGACTAATATTTCAAAAAATTTATGTTTCGAAGCATTCGTAGCGCCAACTAGCTACAATCGGCTAAAAAGAATCAACTTTATGCGACATTACATAAAATGTAAGAAATGTTGACCTGTTTCGAAAAAAATCAATATCAGAACATTTCATATTATGTTGCATGATATTGATTTTGCTTCCAAACAAGTTAATGCTTCTTACATTTCATGTAATCATAATTTTGCGCCCGTGGTGGACATAATTATAAATTTTTTCCAAATCAGTCAATATTTTTTGCATTTCTCTTCCTATCTTGATCTTTTCTACGTACGAGAGATATTCCTGTAAGAAAGTATTGGTCGCCCTAAAAAGGGCGGATTGCTTTCTATCGTTTTAAAAAGAGTGAAATGATGGATGAAATAAATTTTATAACAGATGCTCAAAATGTCCACCGTCCATTCTAACGCAGGCTCTCATGCGTCTCAATAAATTTCTTTGCACATTCTCCATCATATTTTCTTCGATGGCCCATACGGCATACCGCAATCTTATATCAAGATCTTCCATGTCTTCGGGCAGCGTTTTATAAATTAATTCTTTGCAGTATCCCCAAAAAAAGAAATCCAGAGGATTAAGATCTGGAGATCTGGCGGGCCAACGTATTGGGCCGTATCGACCCATCCATCGTCCAGGAAATTTCTGATTTAAATAATTCGTCACTGTTCTAGCGTTGTGTGGCCCCGCACCGTCTTGCTGAAATACGATTTTGTCTCTCTCGAATAATGGTATTTCTTCTAAAAAGTCTGGTAGATTGTCCCTTAAAAACTCCAAATATGTTTCTCCATTTAAAATATCCGGGAGAACAACTGGACCTAGTATCTGAGTTCCCATAATTTCTATCCAGACATTCATCTTCCAACGAATTTGGAAGTTTCTGTTTCGCGTCACTCTAGGATTTTCATCGCTCCATACGTGCATGTTATGCGAATTAAATACTCCTTCTTGCGTAAATAATGATTCATCAGTAAATATTATTCGAAATGAAAATCTTGGATCTCGATCTACTTTTCTTAAAAAGTTTTCGCAGAACGTTTTTCGTAGAGGATAATCTTCTGGTCGTAATTGTTGCACGCGCGTATAATGAAATGCATGCAATTTTTCTTCTTGTAATATCCTCTGAACGGTCGAATATGATAATCCGTATTCACGAGTAATAATTCGAATACTCGTTTCAGGGTTTCGCTCAATAGCTCGAATAATTTCTTCCGTATTTCGCAAATTTCTTGCAACACGGTTTCTTCCAACGTCGTGGTTATTTAGTAGGACACTGTCGGTTTCGTATAATCTTTGAGCCGCTCGGAGTATGACAGCAGCCGACGGATGTCTTTGACGGTTTGGGTACAATTCCGTGTACCGCCTTGCAGCAGGATAATACTGTCCATGGCATTCGCCCAGTACCATGAGCATATCGTAATACTCTTCATTTGTATAAGCCATTTGATCTTGATAAATAATCAGAGGAAAATCTTGATTTTTCGCTTCCGAATCTCTCTTCGCTTCCGAATCTCTCGATAATCTTCCGCTTCAAGCGATCAAAGGATTATTGAGCGACGTATCGATCCGCATCACATTTATACAATTTTCGCGTGGGGTCGATCCCCCCTCTGCGACCCCACCCGCGAATCAGACGTTTCGCGGGTCGCGGTCTGCGCGGGCGTTTCGATTCGCGGGTGGGGTCGCAGAGGGGGTATCGACCCCACGCGAAAATTGTATAAATGTGATGCGGATCGATACGTCGCTCATTTTGAATCACCCTGTATATGTATTGTATGGTACTATACTACCCTAATAACGATGTTAAGAAAATTGTGGAGAGATAAGGAAGTTTTTATTAAAGAAACATAGTGTGTTCATGAATAATAATCAATTTTGTCTTTTATTACGTCTCTGCAACCGATTTGTCATATGAATACCAACATTTGTTGCAAAGGATAAGGGAAACTACAGAAAACCTTACCAGTAATGTCTTACGGTAATGTTTGACGCGCACTGCACGTAAATAATGTAGTACTGATTGAGAGATTTGTATCTAGCGGCGATTTACACTATGAAGTCACAATAGTATAATTACAGACGAATAAATTATAATTTTCATATATATTTCTATGTAAAGGGTTTTAAAAAAATAATATAATCGTTCAGAGAGATAGCATTCGCGAAAGCCACTATAATGGCGTATAGTATCTAAAAGGTTAAAAGAGTAACAATTCATTACTATAAACTTAATTTATGAAAAAATTTGGAACGCGTTGTAAAGCGGGACAAAGTGTTAAAATTTGAGATTTTCCCGCTTAATTTGGGACGGTTGGTCACTAAGATGTACAGGAGCCCCAAAAGCACCCGTATTCCGTATTACTCCGTAATTAGATCGAGCTGCTACGTCATTTTACGCATGCGCACAAAGTTTCCTAGAACAGACGAATTCTTGCCAGTTCCCATCATTGCCTGGAGGAACAGCTCCGTATCAGGTTCCCAGTGATGCATATTTGGCCCCCGGCAACCCCGCCCCACCACTTTTACCCCCACCAAGCAAACACCTACTGGCAGCGAGTCGGCCGACTTCGCCGCTGCGCGAGAGCGAGTGAGACAGCGAGAGAGGCCGTCCGTCCGTCTCGCTCTACCAGTAACTCGTAAACACAAGCGAGTATTAGAGCGAAAAGGACGGCCGCTCTCTCTCGCTATTTCGCTTCCTGTACTAGTCGCTTGTTATAAGCGACCGAAAATCGAAAATGTACTTTCTCGGCCGCTCGGCATATTCCTGTATAAGGGATAAAGAGACATGCACAAACATTCTAGATAACGATTTTAATAAATAGATTTTAATAAATTTTAATAATCATATAACCTCCTTCCATTAATAGCAAAAATGATTTTAAAACGCGACAGTTTACGAAATATTAATTGTTTGCGATTTTCGAAAAATATGTGTTTCTGTTAATGAGGTACTATATTGCTTCCCTCATGCGATGTGGACGCTATTTCTTTCGATAAAATATTAACACTGAGACTTTACGAACAATCGCTTTATT